ATATTGTCTTTAAATGCTGTAATTCACCTTGGGTGCTTTGCTATTAGGCAGGGTAAAAATATTTAAATAAATAAATAAATAGGAGTGGAGTCCTGGTCAAAGCAAATGAAAGGATGCTGCTCTTTTACAACCTCAGAGGCAGCGGCCTCACTTTGCTTGATGGTAGGCTTCACATTTCAGTCAGATAGCCTAGCTAGGTATCCTATGCTTTGTCTCATTTTTAAAGAAAGGTAAATTCCTCTCCCTTTAAAAAGTATTTGGAGGGGATGAATATAAGCCAGGTCTTACCGGCAGGCAGGGCAACACTGCCCTCACCTTACACCACAGATGCTGGAAAGCGGCAGCATGGTCTTTTATGAGATAGCAAAGTGGCTCTTTCTTAAATGCTTCTGCAACTGGCATTTAGAAACATGGTCTTGGAGAAAACAAATAGCTTTCATGGAGCAGATTCAGTGATAGGCAAAAGCCAGACTTGAGGTGGGCATGGGCGGGCATGCCAATGATTGTGTTTGGTTCAGATTATTAATCTGTGAGAGAGCTCTATTAGAAGATCCTTCGTTAGCAAAGTCACACCAGTGTTTATTCATTCCTTGGAGCAATAAACCAGGCAGAGGTTTAAAAATAAAGAGGTTGTTAAAATTTATTTTAAAAGGCAAATACTATTTTAGACTGCATTAAAAGAAGTATAGTCTCCAAACCCCATGAGGTTCTAGGACCCTTCTATTTAGCACTGTTTAGGCCTCATTTTGAGTACTGTGTCTAGTTCTGGAAACTACACTTTAAGAAAACTGTTTAGGCCTCATTTTGAGTACTGTGTTTAGTTCTGGAAACTACACTTTAAGAAGAATGTCAACAAACTGGAGCAAGTTCAGAGGAAGGCAAAAAGGATGATCTGGGGACTGGATGGAGCAACTTCAGAAGAGGGCAAGAAGGATGATCTGGGGACTGGGAAACAAGCTCTGTGAAGGAGGACTGAAAGAACTGGGCATGTTTAGCTTGAGAAAAGAAGACTGAGGGAAGATATGATCACACTTTTCAAATAATTGAAAGATTGTCATACAGTGGAGGGGCAGGATCTGTGCTTGATCCTCCCAGAGTTCAGGACACACACCAATGGACTCGAGTTACAGGAAGCCAGATTTCGGTTGGGTATCAGGAAAAACATCCTAACTGTTAGAACAGTACAGCAATGGAACCAATTACCTCCAGAGGTGGTGAGTGCATTTGAGAGAAACTTTGACAACCACCTGGCAGATATCGTTTGATTTGGATTCCTGCCTTGAGCAGGGGGTCGGACTCACTGGCCTTACAGGCCTCTTCTAACTTCATTATTCTATGATTTCGAAAACATACTTGATAGGAAAGCCTATTCACATGCCAGTGAGGGGAGCATTGCCCACCTTTCAAGAGGGACCACATATCATTCCATCATTCTCCAGCCAATTCTAATTCCAAAAAGCCTCCCCCTTGGGCATTTTGTGATAGATGGTGCAAGAGAGGTGGTGCTTCCAGAAAATTCTTCCAACACTAAGGACAACATTATTAAAGGTCCCATGGAGTTAACTAAAATGGTTATATCCATTATTGCAATCAAGATGACAACAGAGAGTAAAAGGAGAGGGTCCTCCCATTTTCCACATTTGTTCTGGGTCATTAACTAGGCAAGTCTACCTCTCATCAAGGTGGCAACTTACTTTGAACCCAGAACCCACATCTTCAAGCGAAAGTAGAGCATGCAAGGCAGGTGGCTCAAGCAAGCAAGCCAAGCCACACATTTCAATAATGTCTTGCTTGTTGAGTCATTTCAAAGACGCTGCCTCTAATATATCGAGGGAGACAGATAAGCTCTTCGCTAAATGCCCCGAGCCACCGGAGCAGCTCCGGTTGCAGTTCACACTGATAATAATTCGTGATGAATGAACGAATCGATTCATGACCCCGATCAATCCAAGAAGGCTTTCACCCTTAGCCTCTTTTGGATTTCCGATCTACTTTAGAATGGATTGGTCAAAATCCCAGAACGTTCCAAGAATTAAGCCTTTGTTAGCAGCCGGTTTGTTCTCCTGCCTTTGCACCCCCCTCGCCCTGCTCTGTGTTATCTCAGTTTGCAGAGGGCTTTGAAGTTGGGTAATTTATTACCCTTCTACCGTTAACTTTGCCTTGCATGAAGATAGAGAAGCGTTGCCTTTTGCTCTTCAGTTGTGCCCTGTTCAAACTCTCAGCGCGCACACCCCGCTCCAGTATCAGTGTGTGTTTCTGTCTGTCTTTCGACTTCTCAGCCTGCGTGCGTAAAATCCGTCTGTTCACTGCATTTACTGCTTAAGAAGTTCCAGAGTGGGTGTTCAGCCTTTCCAGAGGGAAGGGAAAGTTCCTTACAGTATTCTAAATCGATTCACTATCCGAATATATTAAATTTATAAGTATAATTAGGCATCCAGTGCGGCTTTCACTGCCAGGTCCATGCTTTCCTTAAGCCACACGAAATCCCTGCAACTAGGTCGTTAACCAAATCAAAGTTCCAGGTAAGAAACTGAGGGGGAAAGACAGCGTTTCCTCAGTTTTGAGAGTATGGTGAAGTCACTACCAGTTCGTGACTGGGATTTGGAAGAACCAGGTCTCATCTCCACTGAATCACGAACATTCACTGAGCAGCCTCCCGCTCCAACTTGCATCTGATCTTCGCCTACCTCACAAGGTCATTGTGAGAATAAAATGGGGAGGAGGTGAGCCATGTGTGCTGTTCGGAGCTTATTGGAGGACAGACAGGATGTAAAAGAAAGGAATAAATGACATGAAAACGTTCAGTTTTCCAGGACTGTGTTAAACACAGCTCTCACTGCTTCAGAAGGCAATTCAGAGTCTACCTCCTCTCACGCGTTAATTGCCTTGAAGCTCAGAGCGAATATAATTCAGGATTTAAGAGAAGATTACGAAGGTTTCCGAAGATTATAGTTATTTATTTTGTGGGTTACTATCAGTTCGGAGAAGGTAACGAAGCTCTGGCTGCAACTAAGAAGAGTTTCCGTTTTAGAGAAGAAGAAAGGCAGATGACATGAGAGGGAAGAGTAAAATCCGATATCTTTGAAATCAATACACACTCAATCACAAGTAGCTGATGTAATTTGGTCTGATGTATGGGAAAGAAAAGATGGCCTTAACTTCGGATGTCACAGAAACATTTGCCACACACATTCAATAAATCAACGCTTTGGATGTGAAAATCATGGCACAGCGTTATGCTTTCCAAAGCTTAAAGCTACAGTAGCTAGCTAGCTATAGATACAGCTATAAATATGGATAGAGAACAAGTGTTCCATTGTGGGTAGAGTGTCGGATTAAGACAGGAGAGCTGTATTCTAATCCTCCCCGGGCATGAACATTCACTCGGCAATGGCGATGGTAAACCACTCTTTGCGCGTTCCATGGAAACCTTTCTGAGATCGTCCCAAGGCGGGAGCGACTTGACGCTTCTTGACGGCGCGCTCTGGTTCTGTTTTGATTTTCTGCCTCTTTACGAACAGATGAAAATACTGGGGGAAAAGGGAAAGGAGAGGTAAAAAAAACTGGGGTGGGGAATGTGTGACACTCCAGCTTTCAATAGACAGCAACTTTTCAAGTTCCACATTACAAGTTCTAAAAGAGTGAAACTCCCCTTTGCAGTTTAGTTGGCAAGTTTGCTTTAAAAAATGTTTCAGTCTACAAGCTAATCTGGTGCTGCTTCAAGGTCCCTCAACACGGATTGGTTACTTTTCAACCCACATCTTTGCATTTTGTGAGGCACCTGCTTGAGGTAACGCAGTGATGATCCTACTCTGTTTCGGACAGTTTTAACAGTTGGCAATCACATTTTGGAAACGTTCTTTTTTGGGTCTGAAGCTCCCAGAATCTCCCCACGCCCCCACCCCCAACATGCATGGCTGCTCGGGGAACACGCATAATCTAGGCAGGAGGGAGAGGTGATACAACAGTTACTAAGAATCAAAGGTGTCCTTAGGATTTTTCGTTCCCGCAGCAGGAAACTGATATGTTAGCACAGTTTTGCGCACCGGTACAACACAGTGTTTCTGTCTGTTTCTGTGTATAGAAAAATGATGAATGCATTTAGTGTTCAGAAGTGAATACTGTCCTGTTGTCTATCCGTATCCCTGCTAAGAAGTCCCTCTCCTACTGTCTCCGCGTCCTCCGGAAAGTGTGATGTATCATCTCTTGCTGAACCTACTTGCCAAATATTATCCTTCTGTTCAACTTGTACGTTGAGTGACTTTGAACACTTCCAATTCCGCTTAATCCCCGTTTCCCCGGCCTACATAAACGTAACACCAGGATGCTTGCAAACATATACATCTCCTTTTCCAGAGGTTGGAGAAAGCCTTTCGTTTATGTCACAGTGGCGGTGGATCCAAGGTTGGGAATGATAGCACCCTTTCTCCCTTTGGCCCAGTCCTTTCCTCCTGACACCCCAAGAGGATCAAGGCACAACAACACGGTGCAATCGCTTCAAATCCGGGATGCTACTTTCCCCCTTGCGCAAAAAGTTGGGCGCCTGCCTCAACCCACGCTTCGCTGGACCAGACGCCTCGGGACAAAAGTTGGAGGGCCCCGGATCCAGGCGGAGCGGAGAACAGCGCGCGCACCCCTCCCGTTGGGGGGTTCTGGCTCCGCCTCCCCTCTGGGAGCCGCCTTAGGTGCGTGTTGCGCCCCCCTCCCTTCCCCGTTCCTGAGGGGTCCCTCCAGGACTCCGTCCCCGCCGCGCCACCGTCTCTCCCGGAGCCCTGATTGGCTGGCGCTGTTGGTTAATGGCACGCGCCTGTGGTTGTTCTTATAAGAATCCTCGCGTGCCAGCCCTCAGCTCATGTAAGTCCCGAGCCTCCCTCTGGGGAGAAAGAGAGCCCGCGAGCGAGCGAGCCAGCGCGCGAACCCCGAGACAGGAGGAGCAGCAGCCAGTCGAGGCGCCGCGGGAGCCAAAGGCGGGGGGCTGAGGAGGAAGAGGAGGAGGAGGTGGTGCTGGTGCGAGAGCTTCTCCCGCCACCCGGCCTCCCCTTGCTCCCTTCTCCGAGCCCTTTTCGCGCTTGGGGCGGGAAGGAGCCCGGCATGGAGGCGGTCCTGCTGGAGCACTTCCCCGCCGGCCTCGACTCGTTCTCCTCAGAGCCCTACTTCGAGGACGAGGAGTTCTTCACGGACCAGTCCTCCCACGACCCCCTGGAAGGCGACGAGCTCCTGGACGGCGAGGTGGACTTCTTGGCCCCGCAGTTCCACGACTGTTACCGCGGCGACGGGGCCGGCGTCGGCTCCGGGCCGGGCCTCGGGGGTCAGCCGGAGGGCGCGTCCTGCTGCGAGGCGGCCCCCGGCAGCTTC